CAGCCAGACCTTGCCCAGCACCTCGGCCCCGAGGGGGGGGGGGAAGGCGCGGCTCAGAGCCTCGATAGACCGGTACCAGGGGCCAAGGCCCTGCGCCCGGCCGTCCACGTCGTGCAGCAGGAGCTTCAGGTCCCAGTCGGCCTCGAACATGACCGCCCCAGGGAGCAGGTCGTACCAGAGGTCAGCGCAGGCGGCGGGGTGGAAGTTCTTCCGGAAGTAGGGGCCCAGGGGCTGGCTTGGGTCCTCGGGATCAAGGGTGAAGCTGATTCCCGCGCCGCACAGGCCCGGATCATCCAGCACCTGCCGCAGTAACTGCACACTGGTCACAGATGACAGGCACGGCTTGTTGGACTGGGCCTGGCAGGGCTGCGTGGCCCAGTAGACGCCACCTGTCTCTGGATCGACTGATAGGGCCTCCAGGCTGTGGAAGCTACGCTCCGGGGACGCGGAGGCGGGCTCCAAGCGCGGAAAGAGGGACGGAAGACGCAGGAATGAAAATTTTTGTGACCGAATACTTACGGGGCCATCCACATTGTGCTCCATGGTTGACGAGAGATCCGCATCTTCTGTGTTTGTACAGATAATGAACACAGTTAGCTCAAGTACATCAAGCAAAGAGAAATAAACTGCTAAAACGTACCCATGGAAGGCCCCTCCGCTTGCGCTAGTCCCAGAAGCATTGCTGCCAATACTACACCGCATGCGCTGGCAAACAAAGGTATTCTCGATGTCGTCATGACGTCTCACTGCACGCAAGCCAAGTCCTGCTGGAGCCCCCCTTCGGGGATGGGCCCTACCGTCGGCGAGGACGGCGACGCCCTTGCCCTCTAGGAAAAGTAAGGTCCTGGGTTGCCTGCCAGCCTTCAAACAAGAGAGAAGAATAAGGTGTGAATGAGTACGTAAGGTAACTGCGGGCACATAAAAAAAGTCGGGGGTCGGGACGGGCTCGCGCGTTTCTAGGAGCGGGTCGCCTCTTAGCTATCGCCCACGGTCGCTTGCCTTCCGCCCTCCTTCAACATTCTGTGCCCTGACAGGTCAATCCTAACATAGGATGCAAATCTGGTCCATTTATTAATACAGGAGCCGCGTAGATATCAAATTTTACCACGTCGAGCTGTCGTAGCTGCGAAGCTATTCTTCGTACGACCCCCTGAACATCATAGCTTTCTCCTTTCATCATTCTTCTTTACCTTGGAGTGCGCATACTTTTCTAATATATTTCCATGTGGAACTGTGGGAGGCTGGTAAAAATACACATTTCATTACCATGGAGGACATCAGGATCAGTGTTGTATTCCCGGAGTTTGATGTCACACGGCAGCACGTCTGCAACGCCTGTTGAGGGGTCCCCTCCATCTTCGAAGCCCTTCACCAAGCTCCTTATAGCCAATCGCGGCGAGATTGCATGCCGCATCATTCGCACGGCCCGAAAAATGGGCATCAAGACTGTTGCTGTGTACAGTGATGCCGATGCCCGGTCGCAGTTCGTCCGGATGGCCGACGAGGCGCACTGGATCGGACCCTCGCCTACCACCGAGTCCTACCTAGTCAAGGAAAAAATCCTCGAGGTGGCGAAGCGGGCAGGCGTCCAAGCCCTGCATCCGGGCTATGGTTTCCTCTCAGAAAACCCAGACTTTGCGGAAATGTGCCAGTCCGCGGGCGTGGTGTTTGTGGGTCCTCCAGTGCCAGCCCTGCGCTCCATGGGGTCGAAGGCGGCAGCCAAGCGGATCATGACCGAGGCGGGGGTGCCCGTGACGCCGGCCTACTACGGAGAAGAGCAGGACGATGCGCGCTTGCTGGCGGAGGCGGAGAAGGTAGGTTACCCGGTGATGATCAAGGCGGTGACGGGGGGCGGGGGCAAGGGCATGCGCAGGGTCATGGCGGCGGCCGATTTCCTTCCCGCCCTGGAGGCCTGTCGCCGCGAGGCGCTCAAGTCCTTCGGGCGGGACAGGATGCTGATCGAGAAGTACCTGGTGGACCCGCGGCATATCGAGCTGCAGGTGTTCGGAGACCGGCACGGGAATGCGGTGCACCTGCACGAGAGAGACTGCTCGGTGCAACGCCGACACCAGAAGGTGCTCGAGGAGTCCCCGGCGCCTGGCCTCGGGGAGGCGCTCAGGGAGGAGATGGGGAGGGCCGCCGTCCTAGCTGCCAAGGCGGTCGGGTACACGGGCGCGGGCACCGTGGAGTTTCTCTTGGACCCCGCCTCGCAGCGCTTCTACTTCTGCGAGATGAACACGCGCCTGCAGGTGGAGCACTGCGTGACTGAGATGGTCACCGGGGTCGACCTGGTCGAGTGGCAGCTCCGAGTGGCGGCGGGCGAGCCCCTGCCCGTGCGGGAGCAAGCGGATATCCGGGCGCGGGGCCACGCCATCGAGGCTCGCATCTACGCGGAGAACCCGGCCAAGGGCTTCTTACCGGCCACGGGCTCCCTCAAGCGGCTGCGGACGCCGGTGTCGGAGGAGGGGGCGGTGCGCGTGGAGACGGGCGTGGTGGAGGGGGACGAAGTGAGCATGTACTACGACCCGATGATCGCCAAGCTACTGACCTGGGCGCCCTCCCGCCCGGAGGCCCTTCGGCGCATGGCCCGCGGCCTGCGCGACTACCAGATCGCAGGACTGCCCAACAACCTCGAGTTTCTCGAGCGCTGCGTCGGGCATCCGGCCTTCGAGCGCGGCGGTGTGACCACCGGCTTCCTGGTCGAGTACGAGGCGGACGTGTCCATCCCACCGCCCTCCCCGCCCTCCCCCCAC